TTTTTTTTTTTTCAACTTTTTTTGTTTTTTATTGCCATAAGAGTCTTCTGTACGTAAAAGAATTTTTTTGACTAGGTTTATTTTGAAGTTACTTATTCAAGTTAATGTCGACTTAAATAAAAAAAAAAACTTATTTTTTAGACAGGTAAATGTTGAATTATATCGTTGGAGAAGACGTGCATGTAAAAAAGTGAAAAAGAAAAGTAGAATTTAATATTATCAGCAAAAAAAGTAAAAGATTAAGAAGCAAAGACTCCAGTCTATCAATAAAAAAAAAAAACAAAAAAAGTAAAAAATGTTGTCAAACATTTTTTTTTCTGTTTGTTAAACTGTATGTTTATTAACAATTGACAATATTGCTTATATTTAAACAATTGTTTAAACAAATTATCCTATACAATTTCCAATATTTATTATCAAAACCATCAAATACCTGTCTGGTAAACAGTGGCTTAATTTTATCAGTAAGCCTTCAGTAATTTTTTCTTCGTCATAATTTAATGATTAATATTGATTTTAATCTAATCGTTTAGAAACATTTATTGCCTTATTCGTTATTACTTTCTCTGCAAAAATTATACTCATTATATCGCCAATTATTGTTTATTCTTTTTCAAAAGTTGTATGAGTTATTGTTGGCACTGTAGAATTAATTATTTTTTTCTGAACTGCTAATTTTTTTGACTGTTATTTGGGGCAGTAAAACAGCAAAAAAATTCCAAAAGTTAACTAAACGACAGTATTTGCAGGTTAGTTTCTCAGTGCTACCTAAACAGTCGATTAACTGCTGTTTTTAACCTCTATAGGCTTTGTTTTGCCTTGCAACCTTTTTAGTTTCATAAAAATTTCCACCGAAAAAAAAACATTTTTTGTTACTGTTTCACGTTAATATATGTGCATAAATATCACTATCAATTTTTGGTGTTGATTACTGCGTTTGAAAAGCAGCAGCAACCAGCATCATACGACATTTCCATAAAACTGTTATCTGTTCATAAAACGAAAAAAATAAACAAATTTTTTTGTAGTAATATTTTAATGTTTAAAAACCTGCTGTCAACTTTGACAACAAAGCAGCTTATTATAAAGGAAAAATAATAATAAGGTGAGTCATCGATATCGCAGATAAATGTTGATAAATAAGCTGCGTTACCATCTTGTCATTGAAATTAACTGTTTTTAAATTTATTTTTTTGAGCAGTTCAAAAATAACCTAGTAGTTTTAATAGTAAAAAAACTACCTGTTAAAAGAGCTACCTTTTAGCTTCGTTATTCAAATTGCATTGCTCAAAGTTAAAATTCATCTCTGACTTGCGGTCTATAGTTTAAAAAATCATGCATGATACTTTTTAATCAGAATTCCTAAATCAGTTCAACAAATCTACTTATATTGAGAATAGTTCATTTTGCTTTTTTTTATTGTGCAGTTTTCAAAAAGTTTTTAGGTTATTCAGAAAAGCGGTTTGGAGAAATGTTCCTGCTATCAAGTGTTAAAGAGACTTCCATCAGAAAATGATCAAAATTGTGATTATGGTGTTGACAACAAAAAGTAGTCGATCAAACTATAAAAAATATACTTTGATCGGTATTATAAATATATGACGAATAACCCTCAATAAAAAATTGAACAGTGCAGAATTAACCGACGTTCAGCTAAATGAAGTCTTATGCCTTCCAATCCTAATAACGAACGTTTATGGAACCAGAAAATCCTGTATTGCTTAATTCCTGGCAAATTAGAGGTGCTACAGCAAAATTTGAAGAATTTTTGAGAAAAATGGAAAAGAAGCCACCGAAAAAGCCAAAACGTTATTTTCTGCCGTTGTCGCTGTCGTTTGACGATTTAAGAAGCAGGGAAATAAGAAAGTAATGAAGAAATACGTTATCCTCAAATTTTCTGAATGTTATGTATCTGTTTCAAATTGCTCTATAATTCTTTAACTATTTGTTTATGTTCTATTAATGTGGTTACAAAATACAAAGAAATTTTGTTGCAAGCCATTTGCGCGTTACTTTGTGTTGCAAAAATCTATTATTTTAAAAAAGGCTTTGAAAGTTAAGTGTTTAGTATAAAGACTATTCTGTATTGACTCTGTTCACTTCCAGGAGGTCGTCTGAATCTTTCAAGAAACCAAAAAATTCGTTGGCGTCTGTCATTTTACTGGGCGATACAGGTAAAATATTTGTGACAAATTTTTTTATTATTGATACTATTGCTAATTCAGATTATTAACCATTTTAATCTTTAGCTTTTCGAGTAAAAACAATTTTTTTAGTGCAGTTTAAAAAAAAGGTCATCGTTTTACTAAAGTGACTAAAGATTGATACTGAGCGATTCTTTTTAGCGGAAATTCCATACATTGATGCCGAGCCACATACACCTCCAGTATATGCTGTAACCCCGAAAACTGAAAATATAGTTGTGCATCGGAAGACGGCGGTACAAACAAACGTTCGTCGTCCAAAAACCGTCTGTCTCACTAATATCATTTTGAAAGATTGAGGAAACCGGCAACGAGGTACATATTTAAAAATAAGATTTGTAAGCGCTTTAATTCAGAACTACTTTGTCACTTTCTCATTTTTTTGTATTACTTTTCTTTAGGGTAAGATTAAAATATTTTCAAGTGTCCAGTAGGAAATTACTCTATTGGAATTTAAAAGTAAGTTTGCTTTAGCATGGTTTAATGACACTTGCGTTAGATAAAAATGCTAGAAGCAAATTACGCAGTTTCCGATATGCGAAAGAATAAAATTAGATTTTAAGATTAGAAACTTTATTTGACAGAACAAGAAGCTTCAACTATTATGCTACGTTTAGGCATCTTTAAGCCCTGCAGTTACTGTATTTTCAGGCACTGCTTTCTCAAACTTTCAATTTTATTGCTATTTCGTGTAGATCCATTTACCTTCAGACTATAAATAAAACTAACTTCAGAGTTCTCTTAGAAAAAATTATGCACAGCTAGTAGCTGCTCTCAGCACAGATTTACAAAGCGATCGCGGTAACAGAGGGTCTGCTTAATTTACCTGTGCTCATATTTGAACTTTTACATACCTGAACTTCTTAGGCATCTGCGAAACACTCAGATCAATAGTTCTGTGAGATTCTCTACTACACCAAGTTACTAGTAAAAGAGTTGGTAAATACAAAAGTGCAAAAGGAAAAGCGAGGTAACAAAAAACATTTAACGGGCAACATTAAAACGGTTTGCAGGTGGTGGAAAGCGATAAGTGAGCTAATGAAAACTCTTGTAAGATATAGGAAACTTGAGCTAGCTCCTACCAGGAGTTTAAAGAAGTTTTTAACCTCTTTACCTATGCGTTCAAGCAATCGTCTTTCTTCAGTCGTTCCACAGATTGGGAAAAATGATTTGCATTGTAGCTGAGTTCCATTATAGAGACACTCAAAAACCAAAATTGTCATATCCGTAAAAGTAGCACAAAACCAAAGCTACTGAGAAATTATCCAGTGTTTCCATTATGTAACTTCTGCTCTTATTCGAAGTTTATTTGTATTACGCTACCCAGTATGCAGAAATGAGTAGAAAATAAGTTACGAAACGGTCTAACTTTAGTGTATCCGTGACACAACATTTTTCAGATAAATGTAGAAGTTTTACTGAAAAAGTGACTTTTCATAAACTCTGGTAATGAATTCCTCTCTGAACACTTGCATTATACCATCGCAAGAAAAGTGGAGAACTTATCCATAATTTTCAAATCTTGACTTCTTCAAGCATGTGGTCTTGTTAAACGTTAAACTTAAATTGTATCTTTTTGGAACGACATTTGTTTTAGTCAATATCTAAACAACTAGAATGGAAAACGATAAACATATTTGCGCTACTGCCTGCCATAAGATGTGTTTATTCGTCCGGTCATTCCCCAGCCTTTACATTCCCTGTTATATCAGCTGTTTGTCAAGACAAATATCAAACTGAAATAAACATGACGGGTGATTAAAGAGTGTAAAAATTATCTGTATTCTATAAATCATATAAAAATTTTAAAATTGTTCTGAGTTTTCAACCATTTCTTTGTTTTTTAGCATTCTATTTCTTGCTATAATTTTGGATTATTTTGTGCTGTTTATGTAATAAAAATGTTGGTATCTATCAATTCAATTTAAATCGTTTTATGGTAAACATTCTGAAAACTGCACCCTGTACTCGGTATTTCACTGGAGAAGAAAAAAGAAAGAAAGGGACTTGGTGTTGACTACAAGTCAGTAATTACATTCATTTATTCAGAATTAGAGAATTCCACTTTTTAACTGTTTCAAAATTGGTAAACTTCAATATAAGCGGGTTTTCACGGCTAATCGATCCCTTCCTAATTGAAAAATGATTAGAAGCCTTTCTCTTACAGCGCCCTTCAAGAGCTCTAAAGAATCTGTTTGTCACTATAGGCCCGACTAGCCCTTGAGATCTACAGCACCAATCACTGGCCGTAATACTACGTAAGCAAACTTTGATGAGCTGTATTTCACCTTTACTACTTAACTAGATAGTTGTAATCATGTCCAACAACGAATGTGAACACCCATAAATTTATATTTTTTATTCCCTATTAAACTACTGTCGTACACACGCAAACGCTAAACTTACTGAAGACCACTGTGGCCCACAAGTACTACAGTGAATACGAAAACAAAAACTAAATTAATATGAACAATAACAAACATAAAACTGACGATATTAATACTAAAATAATAATAATAAACAAGAAATAAAAATC